ATTTTTTTATGATTTTCAATTTGAATATCGGTATTTTTGGAAAGAATTGAAAAATGATATGATCATACAGATTACTAAAATCGCGTTACAAGTACTAAAATTTATAGTATGTGTATCAAGTTGTTTAATGTTTTAAACTTTTAGAGAAAATAGTTTATATGATATTTCAATAACTAAAATTTTCAATTTAAATCTCGCTATGGCTTATTTATGAAATTTGTTCGTCTACGAGATCTTTAATATAAAAAAAATACTTGTTCCCCTTTGGTGGGTACAAGGGTTTCCATGGTATTGAGTTTTTTTTATAATTTCTTTACAAGTTTGGTAGATTTGTAATTACTAATTAGTCTAGTCTTCTCATCAGTCTTGGAACATTTAATCAAAACCATCGACCAGAGAATTTTTTTGCATTTTTCCACAAGTATATATATAGGAAAGAAGTCACTCATTTTCTCTACGTTGAACCTTAAATTTCACAAAGGAAATTGTTCCCTGCTTCCACTGTCCACACAATCAACGGAAGGATGACGGTATGTACAAACATTCTCACACACAATTCATGACATGGAAAAAAATAATAATAATAAAAAAAAAACTAGCTTGCACCTTCTTATATGTATATTAATTCGCACTTTCAATGTTGTTCCTCATCAGCAAAAGGTAGTCATTGAGATCACCCCGAATTGCCAAAATTCCAGCTGTCAAGGAGGCCTTGTTGAAATGTTGTCGGAGTTCATTTGCTGCAAGGACGAAGAGTTTGATCAAGCTATGAGGATTAGAAGAGAGGCCAGGAAGATCGCAGCAAGCATCCCGGGTAAGTTAAATCTTTCTGTGTGTAATATAAACCGTTTCTTTCTTTCTGTGTGTAATATCGAACCCTTTAATACTGATCATTGTTTTCATCTTCACTTCACGTTGGATTATACCCTCAACAATCTTACTGTCTCATCAACATTATTTTTGTAGGAGTTGAATCGATTGCGATGGAGGGAGAGGAGAGGAACATTCTAACAGTGATTGGTGAAGAAATCGACCCAGTGAGGCTTGTCCAATTGCTTCAGAAGAAGGTCTGTTTTGCTAAGATCGTGAGTTTTGGCCCTAACCAAACCAATCCTGCGCCCACGCCTACGCCTGTGCCTGAGCCCGTGCCTACGCCTACGCCTGTGCCTGAGCCCGTGCCTACGCCTGTGCCTCCCATTTGGCGAATAGTTGAAATCAGAGAACCTACCTCCTGCTTCAACTTTTGAATGCTTCTGGTGTAAACTTGTCAAACAAGAAAAAAATAATCTTATGCGGTAGTGAAAATGAAGCAACATTACTTCACAATAGATTGTGTTACAAATTCTGTTTGAAATAAGGTGTTGGAATACTGTTCAATGTTGAACTGGGCACTTGCCTGGTTTTGTGCTGGACTCGCCCAGTGAAAAATTTTGTCCGTTGAGATTTTGAATTATAGTGTCTTTCCATCAAGTTTCACACCTTTTTGGCTTGGTTTTGCACCTTTTCGTGAATTTTGTTGGAGTACCATATATATGGATGATTTTCATGATTGAAAACATATACTAAACATCAAATCTATACTATTGTATCCAAATCAAAGATCAATCCTAGTTACTATAATTTTGTTCTTAAGTTTCTTTTACAAGTTTGTTTGCTAGATTCAAACTTTGAATTAAGGTTTTAATTACTCCTACAAACTATTTGCAATAGAAAGCCTTCAAACACTTATTTCGGTGGTGACAAATATCGTTTGAAGATAGCGATTCATAATCATATTCAAACCTTCCATTTGGTGGATTATTCATATTGATGGTTTTCTTTGTTCTTCGTTAACTTTTGAACAACAATCTCAAATGATATTCTCAACAAGGAGAATGAGACAACCATGACTATGATAAATATGATGAACCTAGACCTTGTAAGGCTTGATAGATTCGACCGGGTCGAACTTTTGGAAGGACAAATTGAAGTTTCTTATTACGACATTGAAGATATTCTACATTTTGGATAAAGATTGGGCACCAATGTCGGAACCAATCTCGAATGACACCGACGAAATAAAGGTAAAACGAAAGACAAGAGAATAAGATGAATTAATATGTAGATGACACATTCTAAACACTCTCTCCAATCGCCTCTATGATCTCTACACAAATAACACATCGTCAAAAGAAATATGAGAATCGTTGGAAACTAAATACAAGGTCGAGGAGGATGGTACAAAAAAATATCTTATTATCAATTATTTTGATTTCAAAATTTTGGATAACTTGCTTTTGTTAGGACAAGTCCATGAGTTACAAATCATTGTCAATAAAATGAAGGCTGAGAAGATCGATCTTCCCAAAACCTTCCAAGTTGGTGCAATCATTGTGAAATCGCCATTTTCATGAAAATGTTATAAGAATAAAATTCATCACTATTCCTAAGATTATTCTTTGAAAGATATTCAAAAATTTTGTAAGTCACGGATTATTTCGAGGTCACAAATTTAAAATTTTATAGGTCACAGATTATTCTATTGGTCACAGATCAAAAAAATTATATGTCACATGTCATATATTTTCAAATTTGTTGGTCATGGATTCTTTTTTTTAGTTACAAATTATCAATTTTAAAATCACAGTTCAATAGCTAGGTCACAGATACCAAAAAGAACAACCACCGCCGTTGACCTCGCCACAACAATAACAAAAAACGACCACCACCACACGATCGCCAATACAGATCCACCACCTTAACAACCATACATTCCCAGATCTGCGACATTACACATCCCCAGATTTGCGACAACACACTTCATTCCCAAGCACAATCACCAACAATAACACCAACAACAACAATCACCACCCAAACCACCACCATCGTCGCTGCACAGCATCACCAACATCGTCGCCCCCGTCACACCACCACCACCACCACAACCACCGCCATAATAATAATAATAATAAAAAAACCATCCCATCGCCGCCTGCACCACCACACTAAGAAAACCACAATCACCGCAGTCGACCCCACCACAACTATCGCCACAACAATATTAACAATACACCAAAAGGAAAAGAATCATCTATTCCAACAATAGAAGCAACCTGAACCATGGTAAGAGAGAAATCACGAGGTCTCAAAAAATAGAATACAAAGTACTCTCAAATTCATTTACCTTTTCACCTGCTATTTATTCTGAAGAAGCTCAGAAGAATACTGTGTAGAAAGAATCCAAGCTCCCTGGTGTTGAATCAGATGAAACTGAGGAAAGAAGCAAAGCACTCTTAAATTAATTTACCTTTTCACCTGCTATTTATTCCGAAGAAGCTCAGAAAAATACTGTGTTGAAAGAATCCACGCTCCCTGGTGTTACATCAGATGAAACTGAGGAAAGTGCTTTGTCTTCTTTTGCTGCACCTTCAAAACCTGAGACAAAGATTAAATTTGACTTAAATGAAGATTTGATAGCAGATGATGGAAAATATGGGGAGCCCGTCAACTGTATAGCTCCAGATTGAACCAATGTTCATGTGATTAACCTATTACCTTCTACTGTAAGTTCCATGGCCAATGTCCTTCCTGCTTCCATGGCAGTAGCTGCTGCAACAAACACCCACAGCAGGTCGCGACGCCGCTGTGAAAGCAACAACGACGAGGCGCTGCTGCGAGAACGGAGGGGGAGGGGGAGGGGAGGGAGAATGGGAGGGGGAGGTGGCTACGGCGGACGGTGGCGACGGCGGGAGAGTGGAGTGAGGAAATGTTGGAATACATTTAGGGTTTGGATTAGATTTAATTTGGGGGTGGGGGTGAATATATAGATTAATTTAATTTAAGATATCATTATTAATTGTGAAATTAAAACCTGATTTTTGATTAAATAAAGTGTAAACCTGATTTTTAAAAACATTAAACTAAACACCTGGTTTTACGTAATTACCACTTTTATTATTTATGTTTTCTATTATTGGCCTGGTCTTATTGGGTTGGCCCAAACCCTTCACTAGTAGGTTTATGTTTTACTATTTATACGATTTTTACATTATAATTGGAACAGTTGATAAATTAATAAATTTGGTTAGGCTTGCAGCTAACATTTTTCTTTTCCCTGCCTTCATTCTCTTTGGTTTTTTCCCCTTCCTGCTGCCTATTTCTTTTGCTTCTTGTTGCACTCAAATTCTTCAATATATCCTACATCAAATTTGGTATCAGAGCAATTCGTTCTCCTTTGGCCTACACTTTCTCCAATCACAAATAGCATTCCAACCAACTAACTGTTTCCATCTAATCCATATACACACAACCGCCTTAAGATCACTTTTCACCAAAATATCAAATAGAAATAGCAGCAGTAGTAGTTTTTCTTCAGTTTTTTCGGTATTTGAAGATAAAAAACACAAAAAAAGCACAAAAAAGGGTAAAAATTGTTACTATATCACCGTTCCTGTTGCTATTCTTCACAGACCAAAGTGTTACCCACAAACCTAAACTCTAAAACGGCCACTTACCTTTTATAACCATATATCCAAAACCCTAGTCCACATATCCATAATTGAAGCAATACTAAAACTTCCCCTGGCCCGCTACAACAAATCCAAAAGCCAATATCCACTATCACTATATCAAGAACCCAATCCAACATGGGAACAATACATAAATAAGGTATTTAAGTATCACCATTTCAAAATTAAGGTTTGAAGTTTTAAATTTCAAAAATCAGGTTTTCATTAAAATTTATTTATAATTTAATTATGAAATAATAATTATTAAATTAATTTATTATTAATATTTAATTCTACTATAAAATAATTAATCCACCCCCACCTCCACCACCCC